CTTAAGATACAATTTTGGCTGACCGGAGAACAACGAGTTACAATAGTCGATCCTTGCAGTAACAAAGGCATGAATTAGAGTTTCGCATGTATCGTGAGAAAGAAACTTGCGAATCTTAAAAATATTGCGTAGATGGAAAAAGAAGACTTGCATACCGCAGTAACATGTGGAAACATCGACAGAGAGTTACTGATAATAACCCCATTATTTTTAGCGACAGTTGAACAGCGGTCAACAATGTCAGAAGCAATCACCAGGTTATTCAACGCAGGACGTAAGCGACAGGAGGATGAAAATACTATAATTTCAGTCTTCCCATTGTTCAGTTTCAGTTTATTTTCTAACATCCAAAGGTCAATGTCTTTAATGCAGTCTTCAATAGCAGATTTACATGTTAAGGTGATTCCCTAGTAAAAGAACCTAACATAGATTTTAGATGAAACTTGGTACACTGATGTAACAACTCACGAAGATGATAAAAATGTAATAAAAAGTGGGGGTCACTGTGCTCGTTTTGACATCACAATGCCGACAAATACGGCTATTTTGGACCCTTTGACAAAAACCACGTGCAGCCCAAAACTAGACAAAAAGGAAAGATTTTTTCAATGATGCATGTGGTATCGCACAGAATTTGACTTTAATGTATTGTTTATCCACTAACGTACCATAAAAATGCCTTTTAATGCCCTTGTTTTTACTTTACGCTCCAAAGTAGAATTAAATTGGACACGCGCTATTCGACACGTGATAGCTCAATCCGTACAATTTAGTAAAATTGCCAAAAAACTGAACATAGATTTGTGCCAGTTTTTTCTTACCGAAAGGAAGCACTGTCCTTATTAAAATCATGAAATAAAAAATGGGGGTCACCGTACTCGTTTTTGCGGTAGAGCTGCAGAAAGTGCGCACCAAATGCATTTTCCTTGATTTTTGAGAGCGGACTGGGGCGAGTTTCAAAATAGAATGTATGTGAAAGGGGGAAGAAAGTATTAAAAATTCCGTTTTTACAGAATTTACATCGAGATATCACATTTAGGTCACAATGTGATAAAGAAAGCGTTTAAATGAAAATCAAAGTGAATAAACACAAATTAAACATCCACTATCGAGGTTCTCCGTGAGGAAGTCGAACTCAGCAACACGCGTACTGCTTACGTTAGGCACATTCCCGGCACATTGAGTCTCACCTCGGCAAGAAACAACCGCAGGCAAAAATTGCAATAGCGTTTCTCTTCGGTCAACTTCATTTTAATTATGATACTTCACATGCTCTTTTTTACGGGGGCCATCTTGTTATGCGCAGTAAGAGATGCGCAATGCAAAACCAGGGAATCACCTTAACTGATTTGGCAATTATAATTATCAGTTTGCAGATGTTCGTTTTTTAGTTGATTCCAAAACGGACTCCAATCGGAAAGAGTGTACGAATCCAGGCGTAGTCAATCGATAAACCGATAATCGATATCAATCGATAACAATCGAAGATTGATATCGATTACCGATACCAATCGATAGAAATCGATAACGAAATAAAGTTGTCAGTTCGATTGATATCGATTTCCGATAGAAGTCGATAACGATTGGTTTAGTCGGAAAAGATTAGGGCCATTTATACGAGGAAAAATAAGACGCGTCTTACATAAGACGCGAACTTTCCGTATAAACGGCACATTTCGTCTAAAATAAGACGCGGCTTGGCTAAGACGCGTCTTATTAGATAAGACATGCTCGTATAAATGGTACAGTTCGCGTCTTATTCAAGACGCGTCTTAGCTAAGCCGCGTCTTATTTTTCCTCGTATGGCCCTATTGTTGTCGTTTTGTAATGGTAACAGGACTGAGTGGAGTCCAATTCGGTCTGTAATCATACGAGTGATTAACAAAATCGGATGACCGCGTAGCGGGAGTCCAATTTGTTTAATCACGAGTATGATTAACAAGTTAATCATCGACACGGTGTATGACATTTGCAGACTGCAGACCGCAGATTGCAGACTGCAGACCGTAGACTGCAGACTGCAGACTGCATGAGGCAGCAAGACTGTAAATTGAATGAAACCAAAAATATCGTAATAAAGGTGGCGTCATCTTCAACATTACCTTGTTCCGAGAAGTACATGTAAGGCCTAGAAGCGAAGTTTATATTTTTCACGCAAATTACACCGACCTCATTCCTAAAGGAGTTGTCGGCTGTTCTTCTCGTATGGAATTAGAGCAGAATAATTTCTGCCGATCTCACAAACTCGCTCATGAATCCATAGCAACAGGCCAGCAATTTAGCCTGCACCACAGATGAACCAGTTAAACTCTGATTCATAAGCCTGTCACGTCTGCGAAACAGCGCCGGAATCCTTATTCTACGGGGACGCCACCTGCGTACTAGGATTTGAGTATGAGCAATGATTGGCCCGTTAAAAAAGCCATTGTCGAATTGCGTATTTAGAAATTCAAAATGCACTTCCGGTTATTCGTCAAGTCCAGGTAGGATCTGTTCGGTTTAGATTATTTGGCATATCCTTAAATACTGCTAAGATGAAATACGTCATTAATTTAAAAGGTGCTAAATGTCTGTGATATATCCTATTTGTTTTTGTCAACGTAACTGTTGTTAGCACCAAGTGCTCGCAATCTAAAAACTTTTTTTTTACAGATGACTACTATTTAGACAGGCATTAGTGGCTATTGTTACTTGTCATTATCAATTCACAATAATCAAAGAAGAATAAAAAAATCATTGCAATTAGTGATATGCCGGGTGAGTCAATAAAAAGAATAGCCAACAGCATCTTGGAAATGAGGCCAATGTAACTTTGCGCAAAAATATCAACCTCGGTTCCCAGGCTACTTTCTCACTTTCACACGATGTTATATTTTTGATGGTGTCATCTTTGTTAGGAAGTTTTTTGGTGTCTTTTCATTTACAATCTGCAATCTGCGGTCTGCAGTCTGCAGTCTGCAGTCTGCAGTCTGCAAATGTCATACACCGGAAGACGAAGTTGCGGCCAAAGTAGCGGTGTGCAACCCTCCGCTAGTCTGGTTATAGCAACGCAGCAACGCCATAAAGATGAAGCAGACTAAACAACAAAATCAATGTTTTTATGATTTCAATTAGTCGCATTAAGAAAGAAACGTAAGAATAAATCACAGAGTAAGAGAGAAATAAAAAAATATCCAGTAGCACAGCAATAATCACTTTGGCTCCTTAAATATCGACCAGGAATAATACATGCAGAAGAAGAAGCAATTTCCTGTGTTTTTCGTCGTCAGAAAACAATGGTTCCACCCGCGAATAGTGATACATGACCGGTCAGGTAGTGATTTTCATAATAGCAATCATTGTTATGGCATATCTTTTGGATTATCGACTGTTATCGATAAATATCCATTATCGATTGTTATCGATTCTTGCCAATCGATAAAAATCGACAATTTTTTTCTGTGAGTTCGATTGTTATCGATTACCGATATCAATCGCCGATTGCTATCGATTGATATCGAGTGTATCGATTGATTTTCGATATCGATTTCTATCGATTTACTACGCCTGGACGAATCCCATATCTCTAGAGTCAGAGAGCTGCTCGCTAAGCTTCTCTAGAAATCGTCTTCATCAGATCCAAAGGCTGAGTCACTATCGATTGTATGCATTACATAACTAAGTGAGTAAAATAAGGGTCAAGTCTTTCTTTGGTTAATAAATGAAAAAAAAAACGATTTTCACACTTAAAAAATAATTATTTCGTGTGTGGACGTTGCGTCCGGCGTCCGGCCTGACACGAAACCCCTCCGAAATAGTCTTTGTCGGTGACTGAAATACGTGCAAAAAATGTCCCAGAAACCGTACAATGAATAAAAAAAAGTCCGAATTTTGAGGGGGAAAATTGGTTTAAATTTCAAACTAAAGCACAGAGAAACTAAAAAGGCCATTTTATCAGAAAGATTTGGTGACCCCGGGAGATCCGTGCCGTATCCGGGAGACTCCCGGATAATCCGGGAGAGTTGGCATATGTGGGAAACTGGAAACGAGTCTGCTACAAAGCACCATTTTGGAAGCCAAGAAGTGGAAGTTCTGATCTAAACTTCGGATTATGTAGCATGAAATTCTTAAACAGTCACCGGGAATGCGTTTAAAAAAATTCTTACTACGGTACTATCCACCAGGTATGAATGATTGACGACCAGTCTGCTGTCTGGTTTAGCTGAATAACCTAAATACTCGCGTTAAACACTACTCATTACTCAATACAAATTATTACAATTCATTCCGAACAAGTTAACTTAACATAGTTAAGCTTGCGTTGATCTATTCATATTGAGACAGTTAAAGCAAGTTTAACAACTCGGACCTATCCATTATTTAAACTTAAGGTCACCGTTGGATTGGAAAAGAGTCCTTTTTTGTAACATGAATAGTAACTATTCATGTTACAAGAAAAGAACTAATCAGTTAAAATATTTCAACCTTAAACTATTAACACATGGCAACAGTACCCGGGGTATCCAATCGATGAAATCGTTAATCAATGACAATCAATATCAATCAATTCCAATGGATATTGATAATCAATGGCCAAGATTCCTATGGTTATCAATTGGTATCGATTTTCAAATAACAATTGATAGATAAATTGATATCAGTTGGTATCGATTGATTGCAGATTGACGGAATTGGTGCATAAATATTGCAGGTTTGTACACAGTTATTGTGAACACATTTCATTTTAATGCTTTGAACGTTAACAGGAGAAGAATACTCTCTTTTTTCTCTTCAACGGCCCCTCCACACTTATCAGTTTTCCTCTGACTGAAAGGATCAAGCATCATCATAGCAAAGTGATTACTTTTCCCAATTTCAAGAATCTTAACACAGGTAAACTGAAAGAGACTCTCAGCATAGCGCCTTGGCATGTTGGCGAGATGTTTCACTGTGTTGAGGACTGTTATGACTACTGAAAAAAACTCCTGAGAATCATTTTGTAGGAACATTTGGCTATGAAG